TTTCAGAACAAGGTGGCCTTGGTGTAGTCTTTTTTCAGAGTGCACAGCAAAAACAGTTAAAAGAAAAAAGGGGGAGATCTCATGAGACATACATGTACTCCCCGCCAATTGACAAACAGATTCTGTATGTGAAGTGTAAATGCAAGTCAAAAGCGTTACGGTTAATTCAACGTAATTTGTTAGGATTAAACACGCACACACAGGTGCTTCTTGCACGATCACAGTGCTACAACATTTCTTGGTGATGTAATTTAACAGAGTTAAGAGTTGCAGGAGGTACTTTTGAATTAAAGGCCGTTCACAGAATCTTGGGACAACGTACATGTAAATCAACTGGGACACACTATTTTCACCCACATAATGTCAATTTTCACCAGGTTGGTTAACTGCATGTATTTGACATCGGGCACATCAAACCAAAGAGCTTCGTTTGCTCTTTCTAAAGCAAATAACTAATTTTGTTGCATGTGCTCGCATTTTTTGTAATGCACAGATGATGACCTTTTACAAGGAGTGGCATCACATCTGTTATTAAACTGCAAGTGCAGTTTAATCAAAGGCCCAGTAAGATGTAAAAAAAGAACATGCTGTTTGCCTCAAATAGCAACTTTCATCAACGTACGGTACATCCACTGTATGCCCACACGCACCCTTAAACATGGGATATCTGAGGAACCGGCACTGTCAAGATATTGCTTTCTCATATTGCATGTTCAGGTTTCAGGGATCTTTTGAGGGGGCGGCTCCCCACATTTTGCCAATAAATCAACACCATTCAGCGCGAATGGACAATTCCTGAGTGCGACGCTGCTACAGGAACGTTCCTTTTGTGAGCGGCCCGCGGTGCGAGAGATAGGGACATGCACTGGGCTATTAGACCGGAGATCCATCCCCGCCGCAAATCTTTTCAGGCTCTCTCGTCAATTTCCTGCTGGGTGAGAGCCAACTCAGCCTCCAGGCCACAGGAGAAAAATGTTACACTGGGGTCCCAGAAAGATGAGACGACAGGTGGATGTGTGGCATGTGAGGCTATCAGATGAAAAGGATGCTCTTCCCCCCCTCCCTCCCCTGCCCAAAATGACAATTGCCTCAGAAGAAAACGCCGGATAGATATGTGTAGGAAAAGTGGCCACTGATCTCACAATGTTATTTCCAGCTGGAAAAAATAAAAATTTAAAACAGAAACGGGAGCCAGGCTGTTCAAAGCTAAACATCTGTCTCCCAGGCAGTAACATTCATGTACAATGAACGTTTAATCCTTTGCATTTGACAATACATGTGCATGCAAACCCAACACAATGGCATCTCCATCATGTTACTGTCACAACAACATGGGGAGAAAAAAAACTCAGCAAGGTCAACTTTGAGGAGGTGACTGAAATGTGGATCACTTATAATGGAAAAAGGGATCTCAACCTTCACTCTCTTGCGGGGGCACATTTAAGAATCTGCCAAAACAACGCATGATCAGGGGTCCGATGCTGGGAGGCTTTCATGACAGTTAAGTAAGGTAATGAAGTCCTAACGGTATCCTGAACTACATACATGTGTAATGTTGTGCCCAAGGAATTCAGCCTGAAGCCTGGGAACACTGTATTGACTGAAGACTCCAGATGAGTAGGAGTACGAGTGTTTAGGAACAGAGCTGGGCTTGCAGTTTGCAAGAAATGTCCAAATATTTGTACAAGGACTTGGACGTAAGCCAGGCCCTCCAGCAGATGCTTGGGCATTTTCAGCGAGACCGCACTGTCTTTTTTTACCAACAGAAGAAAAGTCACGAACCCCCCCACCAAAAAAATAAAAGGGCTAAAATGTAGGGATAAAAGGAGTCTCCACTTCAAGGAGAAGGGAAGTAAAGAAGAATCATTTTACAACCGGAAGGGGAAGGGAAGGTGTGTGAACGTCAATGACGTTGAACATATCAGCATATATGGAAAAAATGCCCCTCTTGTTAGTGGCTGGCCGCAAACTACCTCTAGGCACTATTCATTCAGAGAGCAAATTTGCAAAGTTTGATATTTGCACTTGGTCCTGCCAGCTGATGCTCTTCTCCATCCCACAATGTCGTGCATTGCTTTATTCGCTTGATATTGATGAATTTATTCTACGTGCTTTGTCCGAGTACTGCACTGTAGACACGCACAGATGCAGGGAGAGAACTCTTGTAAATACATGTATTATTCAGCTAGTTGTGCAAAGTAAACAGCCGAGACGAATGCGACACTGATGATTTAAACTGGATTTGAGCATATCACTGTATATCATTTAACACTTGGCAATGTTGACCATTTCGCTTTGACATTCATATGACATTTATCTTTTAAAGGTTAATGGGACACTGTCGCAATCGGCAATGAAAATGTTTCTTGTTAAATGGTCAGTGTTGGACAGCCGACAGGGCCAAACGTTCAAAATTTAAGTGTTTCCATAATTCCTATTCAAATAGAAAAGATGCAAAAGGTCAAAAACTCCGGAAGTTCAAGAAAAAGGTTTTTTGGGGGGATTTTAGTCAACCGGCATGAGTATGAGTTCCTTCCATTATTTTCAACAGTGTTCATTAAGTTTGTTCTACTATTCTCTGGACAACTTTGGTTAATTAAATATCAATATTTATATTAAAATAAAGCCCAGGTTCAGATGAAAGTTTTAACTGCGTCAGACTCTGCCTATCTTGCTGAGCATCAATCGGTGGTCAAACCTGACTTGCGCCCCCCCAGCATTGCACACCAGTACACTGCTACAAAAATCATTATAGCTGTTGGTTTAACAGCCAATATTTAGCGGAAAAGCACATGTGAATATTCCTCTCTTTGGTTTGGTATTGGTCGTTATTATATTTTGGGGGATGGAATAGAATGGAACAGGGCAGTGCCTTTTCATTCAAAAAAAAGGAGATATCATGAGTCACGTGTCAATGACAGTTATAGTGCAAAGCAAACTAAACAAACTGTCAGGGGTGACAAGGAAAAATAGTTCCCAAAATATGACAGAAAAAGCATGTTTTTACTCCTGGGTTTCTGATCCAGCATAGATGTAGATGTACCGGTAAACTACACACGTTGAACATGGTTACGGACACAAAAAAAAGAAGAAGGAAATTCTTTTATAGAAGACCACAACAAAGTTCGGCATTGCACATGCAAATCTCCACACATGTACCGGTCTACTCAAAAGGAACATCATATCAGCTCTTGAAAAACATATGTTTTCTTGTTTTTCGTTTTTAAGCATGAATACGGCTACAGTGGGATTTGAGAACACCTGCCCACGTGTTCCGTTCTCTGCAGTGCTCCGAATATCAAATTCAAACATCATAAAAGATGGATGATGCTGGACGGAATGTTTTGGGTCATAACCACGCATGATGCCTGTCGCAGAAAAAAGAAGGGGAGGGGGCAAACACAAGCTTTCGACAAACACAGGCAAATGGAATTCAGCTTTGTTAACGTTAGTTTTTATGACAAGTCTCATTCCTGGCACTGGATTGATACGGGTGATTAAGCTCGTCAGCTGACATTTCAAAAACTGCTGAATCGTACATGTAGATCATGCCAGCCTACTTCTGAGTTGGTTTACTGATTATTGCCCACTTGCTAAGGGGTTGGCTCACCGATTAGGATGTATTGAAATACCTCCTTGTGAAATTGGGGAAAGCATGATGCGTGAAGCGGTGTACATGTACAGCGGTACTGGGATGCACGCTAATGTGATTTTATGGACTTGATGATTGGCACATCAAGTAATTTACATGTATGCCAGGGCACTGGAAAGCAAGTGCAAAAATATTGACAAAATTCTTCTCAATTCAACACCTGTGCATGCTGAACTACCAGTACATACATGTACATACATGTCTGGCACAGAGGTGCAACGTCAAGGGGGGGTACTTACATGTACCCTTTCCCCTTCTTAATAATAATTCTTTTCAAGCAAGTACCCATTCTATTTACAAAAGCCTTGTATTATTAAGCATGCAATGAATATGTGGTTATTGTTCGTCAATGAAGAGTGCCAGGCCTTTTGTTCTGTTGTACATGTACATCTATGTACTGGTACATGTACAGTGTCACTGGTGTGCTGGACAGGTGTTGTGGACTAACTCTCCCCGGATCCTCCCGCCCCAGCTTTTTTTATTTTACAGACATTAGCACCTGCACTTTTTAACTTACATGTACACAGTTTTTTATTACCCTGAAAATTTCGGGATTTGAAAAAATAAATAATAAATGAAAATACACAGTACTGTATACATGTACCAGTTACTCTAATACATGATACATGTATATTAAACTTACATGTATTCCCCCCTTCCCCCACACCAAGCATGTTGTCAGTTCTTTTAAGGAATTGAAAACAGCAGCATTCTTCAAATGGTACTAGCTACTTTGTAGGAGCACGGTTGGAGGATTTCTTTCATAGATAAAAAAAACTTGTCAGTTGGATGTGGAAAAAAGTGCATTCTGTCTCCCTTCCTCTCTGGACTCTTGACATACTGTAAGCCACACCCCCACCAAGTTGGCTTGTACAAGGCCTGGGTTATTATCATAATAAGTTTTACAATTAAATGGAATTTTCATTTAACACTCCTGAGGGAGCTTTCTTGGGAAAAGCAAATATCGTTTGGCAATTTTCTTCATACACTGTACCTTTTTAATTATAGCACATACAGTGGTGATTCTTTTCCCAATGAATTCGGGCATGCTGTATCCTCTTGAGAAATTACCAATTTATGCCATCCTCGCAGTTCGTGATGCTGGCAACAGCAGGTTCACAATTTACAACGTGCGGGAGTTGGCAAGTGTGGCCGGCACCACCGGCCCCAGATTTCCACAGAGTTTAATGGCCTGTGGAATAATTGATGTGAAGAGCGTGCGCATCCCTCCACAAAAAACACAGACCTGCCGGTTCCCCTCTCCAATATCGATTTGACTTTGGCAAATATATTATTTACTGTCAGCCTGGTGATTGTGATTTTTATTTCAGCAATCCCGTCGCGCACACAATTTGTTAATTTGGTGGATCTTCTTACAAACGACTGCCGACGAATGTCCCAGTTTGGGGGGGGGGGAGAGTAGCGCGGTAGTTCAGACTGGAAGTCTGTGTGGCTCACCACTCAATTACATGACCCAGTTTACGCTGCCAGAAATCTGGTGATCTGAGGTGAGTATACAGTGCATGTACATGGATCTCATTTGCTGCATCCTTGTTAGGTTTTTGTTTAAACTTTGATCGTGTTCTTGTCAGGTGTTTTAAAATTAATCTGCAAATGTAAGCAATTTTACTGTCTGTACCGAGTTACTGTCACAGCTTCATGAATTGCTATCACAGTCACTACACATTATGACAACTGTATAATATAAGCCAATTAATCGTCAGAGGCATTTCCCATTTGTAAGGCTAATGCAAGTGTTAAAAATGATCACAATTATCAAATTGAAACACTGGTATAGCGGAACTGTAAAGATGACAGAAATGTCTTGTTAAGACAGCAGCATAGGGCAAAATAAAATTCAGTTACAAGTGAATGGTGCAGTATTCTGGACCTTGCTCATTTAATCAAGTCCTGCTTCAAGGCTAGTTCACAAACAGCGGGACACAATAAGACCAAGGCAAATTTCACCTTGCTTTTTTTTTTGCTTTGCTCTGAAATTCTCGGGAATAAAAACTATTCTTCGGTCAAGTTTCTTTCCTTAACCAGAAATTCAAACATGTACATGTACTTAAAGAGCATTGATTTCTTCTCTTGGATTGCTTTAATTCACAATGTCGGTTAAACCACAAAATACTAACACATGCTTAGACAGACGGCAATCACTTATAATGCAGGTTAAGTGCCTAATATTCGCGTAAGGACTGTGTAACTTTGGATTTCCTGTAATAAGCTTTCAGTTGGCTTGCTTTTCCATTCTGGCAGTCAATGGCATGTACGTAATCAAAATACACAATTTTGAAAACACTCAACACATACTCAGTACCATTTGACTGAAAATGTATAGAATTGAAAAACTGATAACAGTCCACTTACCTGAAGGAGAAAAAAATCCATAATGCAAACAAACCAGACAGTGGTAGAGACATGGAAAGAGAGAGAGATAATAGGACAAAAGATCAATATACGTGTAATGAACATCACAAATTTTGGCACTAATTATGACTAAAATTAGAAATATGAAGAAACATTTTTATATTTGACAGGAAAAAGTTCACTGAATTTGATGTATTGGTGCTTCTAAAACACTTCACTAAAACCAGAATTAGCTCTTTTTGGTATGATCATTTTTTCTCTGTCAATGTGAAACAGGTTTTGTTTGTTTTATAAAGACTCGTGATTTTTAACAAGCCTGCCACGACGAAGAGCCTGGAGGGGAACAATCTTGACTGGCAAATTGCCTTTCTTTCTAAGCTCTGCCGGAGTGCAATCCGAACAATTCCGCAGCAGATGTACATGTAACATATCAAGCCGGGGACATTTTAGTTACTTCCCACGCATCATGCTTCAGCTCCTGGGAACATGAATACGGGTGCTTTCATCTCATTAGGGCCATTAGCCTGCCTGGTCGGTGGAAACAGCAACAATCCATCAAAGATGAATCTACATGAGAATGGGGAACCTGGAATGATGAGATGGGCCTAGTGCACCCACATACATGTAAATGTACTTTTTGAGTGTGGAAAACATCTGGGAACACAGAACTATGTATTTTCTTGTCAAAATCTTGAGCAGGAGTAACATTTTTCAAAAAATTATTGTACACAAACTGGACTGATGCAAGTACATGTACATGCATGTAGGAGTACACATACACTGTAACGGTATGTACCCCTGTATGCACATGTACATGCAGATGTGCACACTGACATGCTGCTTTCTATAGTTTGTTTGCACATGATTTGTTATTTGCCTGTTATGGAAAAACCCTCAATTACTGAATCACAATAGGTAAAAGACATTTCAACCACCAAAGTGCTTACATGTACAGTATGTACCCTCTGAACCTGCTATGTGACTTTTGGATTCTTGCTATTCCACCCAAGACGGGTATTTACAAGAATATGTACATTTCAGGAATTTGGATGTGATTTTAAATGTCTACGGAACATAAAAACCCGCACACCAAAAGCAAAGTTTTTCCCGTTGTTATGTGCATGTGGTGGGATGAATGATGTACCACATGGAGCATGTAGGCTTTATACGAACTTATTCAACTGACACACCTTTAATTTTTCCATTTGCAGAGGCCTTTTGACCTTGGTTTTCTGTTAGGTCCAGTGTTTGCAGAACCTGTAAAAGTCTCTAAGATCTAACTATGTGCAAAAGTTCCCGCTATTGACTCACTCCTCCATGTGGCCAACCGAGAATCAATTCTCTGCGAAAGCAAATTGGGCGAGTGCCGCTAAGACACGCAAAAAGCATCCTCCGGGGAAATATGCCCTGATGCTCTTTCAGCTCATTTCTTCTCCGTTTCGCTGGTAAATTTTCTTTTTTTTTCTCCCCTGGCTTTATCAGATCAAGGGTTTAATCAGGGGTAAATTGTCTGAGCGCTGTTGGCACAAAATGAAATGAGAAACATCAGCGGGACTCTTTGCTACCGCATCATCACCCCACATTCAATTGGTACGCCCCTAAAATAGCCTTCATGTTGTACCTTACTGCTGTCTCTAAAGGTGATGCTGAGAAAGCACAAGGGGAAGGAAACAGAGAGACGTTTTGACATGGACTTTCTCATAAAAGTGTACATACATTGTACTACAGGGATATTTTGAAAGTAAGGCTTGAGGAATAATTGTTTTAATGAACGGCGGGGGGGGGGACTCGGGGAGGAAAAAACTTCTTTATGTTCCTCAAGGTATTAAAGGACTTCAATATCATCTTTCTGATACACGATCAAAAAACTTCTAGGCAGTGCAAACCTCAAGGTATATATTTTGTCATTCAAATCCTGCAACAATAACCTTGCCTGTCAAATCACATACATGTAGCAAAGCCTTCTATTTCAAAGATGATCACTACTCACTACACACATTGGGTCTATTACAGTGTATGACACTTCAGGCTTGCATTGCCATTATTAATGAAGCATGGGCTTTTCCTGTCTCTATGAGAATTCCATTGCCCCAACCCTTTCTTTATTTCGATCTCCAGGACTGAATCTACCATACACTGTACATGTTGAAGCTCAATGGCCCCACTCTAACCCTTTAATCAGTTGAAGCCAGCATGCCCACAACACTCAAGAGGTGAATTCAATACGCCGGTACCAATGAACACACACATGTACAGTACATGTATAACCCATACCCTTTCTGTTCCCATTAAAAGCAGCAGTTACACCACAAAGCATACAGGTACATATTTGTACAGATATGAACTGTGTTTTTCAGCTGCCAGCTTAATTCTGTGTTTCAAGTGTTTCAAAGTCTTCTACATGTGTACACATACATGTACACATACCCGTATATGTACATGTACACATGTACTGTACAGGTGGTCCTACCAGTATAATGTGCTACTGTACACATGATCTATAGTTGTTTTTCCCGTCTGAAAATGGTACAATTCCATTCACTACTGATATGCTGCTTTGCACCTGTTGTGGAGGATGTTTCTACTGTGTGGTTTAAGAAAAGAGCAAAACCGTTGGTCGGGGAAAAAAGAACTGTTTTGTTGACAAATACGAGCCATACCAAATTAGAGAGTCAGTACATTGCTGGCCCCAAAACAGTGGAGGAAATAGAATCACACAATCATTTGATCAAGAAGTTTCTCAACAGCACGTGGCCAAAAGTCTTGCTCTGTCTTGTTGTTTAGGAATATATTACTTGGGAATGTATAGATAGAAAATAATGTTCATGCACATGTAACTCTGCGCTTGATGAGTCTCTGTCATGAAAGAACCTAGGTCTTCCAGCTGGTTGTGCACCCCGGCTTCTGTTTTTATCGTTTCTTCTTTCGTTCTTTATTTTTAGAGAAAACATCTAATTACAGAAACTTCCAATGGAACTTTCTAGGATGCCTCCCCTTGCTTGAAATCACAGGTAGAATTATGTTATCTACTGTTTACTGTCACAGGATTCAGAGAAGCATCAAAAAGGACCTACGTTGTGTCCTCCTTCAAACAGTGCAACCAATTACACTGTACATGTAGATTTATTCAGAAACACAGACAAAAAGTACAAGTTTACACACAGCTGGACAGATAACAAAAACAAGCAGCAGAGTTAATCACAAAATTGTAACAGAAATAAACCATGTACACTCTTCACCAACAGACACATCCATGTGTATACAATACATGTTGAGATACATTGTCCACGAACAAGTAATCTACTGAATGGCTTGTGTCAACGGTCTTTTTTTCTCTTTTGTTTTGGCAGGGGTGACTGTATTGCATTTGCCACAAATATTTGGATAATATGACAGCCCTTTGATGAAGCTGACTACGTGGGTGTGTTAACTAGATGCAGCTGCGGTATGACGAGATGCAACCGTGATGTCTGCGCGCTACTGGACGTCGATATTATCGCCGTGTTCCCATGTGTTGGGTTTTACAAAGAAGATGCCTGGCATTACCGGGTCTTTATTGACTGATCCGGGCCAGAAAAGATAACCAGAGACCATCTCGGGATATTAATCTCCTTCTGGGGAGCAATATCTTTGTGCCATCACTCATAAGCACCTGGAAGAGATGTGTTGCAAATTATTTCCATTCACCATGATGGTGAGAGAAAGAGACAGCTAACCAAATAAACAAACGAGGCCAAAAGATGCCGATACTAAGGCAGTGATAGATGTACCTGATGTATACTGCCTCCAACTTATGCAATAATGCATTCACAACTGCTTGGTTTACATCACAAAAGAATAAATAAAACACCTTGCAGTATAAAAACACAGAATGAAACCATCAGTGTGTGTGATGTCTTCTCTTCTGCTCAGGTGCGATGTCTTCACAGGTGCAGTACATGGTGATAAATGAATGATCCTGGGTTATTCGGGTTGCCTGACTGGGCCAAAAGTTCATGAGGACGTTAACTTCGTAACAAGAATTGGAACTGCTGAAAGCTGCAGACATCCACACACACACATATCTGGCCTATATGTAACATCCATGTACATGTACTGGTACATGTAACGCACTTGACCTCACCATTTGCCCCTACCGGTCATATTTGCAACAATATTTCTGAAATATTTACAATGGCATCGACTTTCCTTCATATCATTCAACTACCGTAAGCCACCATGTGTTTGTACTGTATTGCGGGATACCGGTAATTCCCAAGTAACCAGGCTTGACTGGTCGGTTGCGTGGGCCAGGCCCGAGTAAGTGCAAAAAGTCACGCAAGTGTCCAATTGAACACAGTTGTGCTTACCCGAGTAAGTACAGGGAAGTAATCAAAAGCACTGTTTACAAGCAAGTCATGTAAAATTCAGCGATTCATCTGCCAAGCACACCCATCAATTTGCTCCCCCTAGCTCCTGGGCTGCCCCAACCAAGGTGTGGAGATCATCATTGTTTTGGGGGGAATACCCTTAATTGCCTTTCTCTTTTTAAAGCATCAGTAATCCACAACATGTAGTATCTGGAAGGAGGACCTTCAAATCCCTGCTTGCTTTACACCACCTTTCCATTCCAGCCTTCAGTCTTCAAGACAAGAATGAAGTTGCCCAACTTTGTGTGAAACAAGGGTTAGTTGTCAATGACAAAATCAAAAGGGGAGGAAACTGAGATCTTAATTTGATGCCGAAGTCTTGTGACAAGCTTTTTCATCCCGCTTTCCATATTTGTAATATTTTCACTGTCTCGTGTGTTTTGGAGCTTTTGTTATACTTTATTGATCTCTGCTGCCATTTTCACCACACTTGAGATTTTTCAAAAAAATTATGACTTCCAGGTACACACAGGACACAACTTGAAGAGTGTCAACACATTATGACCCAACCTGCACAATGAAGATACAGTACCTGCAGTTTCCAGCCAGTTAGTTTCCTATTTTCTGCAGTTGTCCCTAACCTCCATTTCAGATATTCTGATTACCATGTCAATTGGTGTTGTGGTTGAGTTTGTAAGAAGTCCCTCTCAGTCCTATCACCAAGTCCACTGCAAGTTACTCAGTCTCAAACTAAGTCACCAACTACACGAATGAACTATGACAAAACAAGCCGTGTTACTGAAACCTTAGTCTTGCTGTAAGACTTGTTAAAGGTCTTGCAGTGGACACAAGTCTCAAGCCTACATTGGATGTCGAGTAGCAGGTATCTCTCAAAAGCTGTTCAAAATTTCCTCTCAAATAAATTAAATTTCTGGCAATATAAACAAAATTATCCAATGCTGGTTGAAATCGACAGAGTTTGCAAGAATTTAACTGCTTATATCCTTAGGTTTTAATTCGGTGCTGAATTTCAGTTCAACAAGAACAAATTCTTTTTCTGCTCAAGGGGAAAGTAACTGCTCCTCACAATCTCATATTGGAAAACAAAAGTTCACTGCTATGCCATTCCAGCTGACAGGTTTTTCATGTGCTACACTGAGGTTGAATAGTTACGATGAGGTTTACCTCTAGCTTTGCTGAAGGTTAACAGGTGTGTCGAGTTTTAAATGTAAGACAGATTTTGTTGAAAGCCAAGTGCATGATAGATATGAGGCTTGTGGGGCCAGCTTCAGAGCAACAGAGACAAATGATGGAATAATGGCCAGGCAAGACGATGGTGGGTGGGTGCATCGCATCGATAATTCCTCAGAGGAATGCTGAGTTCAGGCATGCCTACAAAGTCTGTGAGTGTTGGTGAGGAAAGAGCGCTAGGGGCGAGTGGCAGTTGAGGATACTTGGTGCGACACTGTTATGCCATACTTTGTACACGTTGGGCATGCTGCGTTTCATCTGGCTCATGATGAATGTTGAGGAGCCGCAGAGTGGACTCTGATCCTGGCTGAAAAAGCGTTCGGAGTCAGGTCACAGAACACACAGAAAGAAGGCTAAGAGACACATTGCTGTGTACTTGATGAAGTATACGTGGGCAGACATTTATCATGGCATGTCTGATGAAGACTCCTGGCAATTACACGTACATGCTTTTGTTAGCTGTTCATGCAGTCGATGAATGCTTACGTGCATGGAAAATTACAGAGGCCCAAAGAAAGAGGGTCTAAAACAGGACTTTTGCTGCTGAAAAAGAATATCAAGCACTGTTGACAGTAAAAGATACTTGTGCAACATCTGCCTGTATGTTGACAATACACCTTAACACAAACAAGTAAAATATTCATTTCAATAGTCAAAGATAAAGTGAGGACCAAGGTATATGTGCATTATACCTTAATTGTAATTAGATATGTAATACCTTACCTTAATTATACCTAAGTTATACCTTATACATGTACAGTAGTTATACTTGTTTAAGAGTTACTGCCTACATTATGAATGTCTTTCACTTCTTTACAGCACTTTAACTTAAGATCATACAAGTACATGTATATGTATGTAATTACATTTCACCTACGGTACACCCAGGCAATTAACAATGGGAGAAATACATTTAGGGTTGAAAAAATCCAATAGGTGACCTTCAAAAATAGATAACATCAATCTTTTTTTCAATCTAAAACAACAAAAACCCTCTCACCCTTAACAAAACCTTGAAACATGTACACTGTAAGACCAGGTTGAGATGTGTTAAACATTCTGAGGCAGTTTTAGGGGTAAAGTGCAAGAGCATTTTTGAAGAATAATGGATTCATAGCTCAATACAATGAAAGGTTTTGGTTGGGTTGGGCACCCTGTGTGATTTGCAAACTGAACGAGTAACACTCTTCAATGCAAATTATCATTATTTTGATTTTTGATAATGACACCAAGAAATCCTCAACTGAGCGCCCTTGGCACTGCAGCTCGCAGACCTGAAGAAACCTGTGATGAGTACACAACAAGAAGCAGTTACAGTTTTAGAGGTGGGAAGAAATCCCCAGAGGAATATTCTGGGTAAATCCTCAGAATCAGGTAGGGCCCGAAAACCCAATTGTAGAAGGTGAGGAAAGAACCACTACACCAACCTGATCTGCCTTTAGACACATGTACTAAAGCTTGCTTCAAAGATTTAAGGGTAATAACTATAATTTTTTCAAGCCTGAGGTTTCAAACCTTACAGAATCATTCTCAAAAAGTTGTTTGGATTGAAATCTTAGACCCTCTAACTCAACTCGCTCCAGTCAAGGAGTGTACCAGTTTTTTCAAAAATAAAGCTCCTTAAAATGACAAAAAGCCTTAGAAAGCGGCACAGGTTACTAATCCCACCCATAAGCATTTTGAGAACTGACCATGACTGGCTACAGAACCAAGAAAACTGGAGGAAACAGGTTGATCTACCCTGTGGTTAACAGGAGGCCAGCAGTGGTGGCACAATGACGAAGGGCCGACGATGCCTCACGGATTGCTCCCAACACCTTTCGTCAGTGTGATCATCCATTTCAATTAGCTTCATTCCAATCTGCCCAAGTCTCCAGCTAAGTTGACGGCAAATTTAACCCCAGGGCCCTGGCCAAATTAGTAAGAGTCCATATGAAACCATCAAACTTCTACGTTATACCCTCTGAGCCCATCTGATGCCAGGGGAAAGCTTGCCCTCGAGGTATGATTGCCATTTATAAGGATTATCCAACACGTAAATGGCTGCACTGCCTGTTTCCCTTGATCGCGCAATAAATGAGTACATGTACTTTCCACTTTTGGAGCCAGCAAATGCCGGATGAGTTGACATTACTTGCCATTCCTAATTATTCCATTAGAAAATTGTTCATATTTAATGAAATTTCTGAAGTTTGGTCAAGATATTTCCCTTTTATGAACTTGTATATGTAGTTTATATAAATGTGACAGCGCAAAGACAAAAGACTAATAAAAATGATTTTAAACCATAATAGCGCTACATGTACGTGCACATTATACTCATTTTTACAATGTCGCATGTAATTAAATTCAGTTGATAATTTTTGACCCATTTTGCACACTTTTTGGCACGTACATATTCATGAAATTCAATCAGTTAAACATTAAGATGTCCATATATTCAACCAAAAAATATAATAATAAACAGGTGTAGGCACGGAATTCAAGAAATTTCTGATTCACACTCTGGTGGTCTCCAGTGGGAATTAGCCTTCGTGTACAGGCTGATGGCATTCAAGCTATATGGCACAAAGTACACAGGACTCACTGTCTTCTATTATGTGCTCAAACCTACAATGGCTTCACCTGCAGGCTAAGACAGGATAATTCCCATGGACAATTCCCAAGCCATCTAGTGGCAAGCAGTTTTATTTTACTTCGCCACTTTTTGGCATCTGAGTGTACAATGTACACTTTGGTATATTTTTGTACATGTGCGGTGTTCATGTACGTCACTTCAATTTAACAGGTAGTGTACAAAAAAGTAACCGTGGGCATGAGGCAGAGTGTGCGCTCCACTGGGATTTCTGAAATATAACCCATGTGCTTCCTCCGCACACAATACTAACTTGTCCCACCTCATTCCAAAACATCTTTTCTACAAATAATAAGCAAATGACACAGGCACTGCCAGGGAAGGGAGCAGAGCTCTATCGAGAGAGAAAGAGCCAATTCAAGTGCTCATCGCCAGCAAACTCACAAACCACCATTAGTGGAAGGGGGTATATTCTGGGGTATTGTTACTTTCCAATAGACCCTTTTCTCCTTTCTTTTCCATCTCTTTTCCATTTTGTTTTTTGTTTGATTTTTACGTGTAATTTGTCCATTTCCCCCCCCCCCACCCCCGAGGAAAGAAGTGCTCCCCCTAGCCAATAT